TTTTCAGGATCGTTTGGACGTTAGGAGGAATTCGTTCAGAAAGAGTGATTATGTTTTGGATTGGGATGCCAAGAAGGTGGTGGAGTCGCTGTTCCTGGAGCCGCCTGTTCAGGAAAAACTGAACGTGGCACTTGGTGGTGGCTGGTGACATCGTGGTGTYCAGTCACAGGTTGGAGTCGAAGATCTCAGAGGTCTTTTTCAGCCTAATTGATTCTGTGAATCTTGATTCTGCCTCTGAGGTCTCTTTCCCCCTGCCATTATGGAAGGGATTATATTGGCTCGTGGTTTAAGGTCATTGCCTTGTCTTTCATCATATCTGATGATGTCAAAGTGGCTTTATTTGTTGTGTCCTGTTATGCTCCAGTTTGTCACACGAATTTCTGAAGTATGCCCTATAGTGAAAAAATTAAGATTCCTGCCTGTGTAATGCAGCTGTCACAACCCTTATAAATGGGGACAATAAACTGTCCAACAGTATTAGGTACACTTGAAGTAAGCACAGAAGTTTTATCTTCATTCTGTGTCAGATGGGAGTGCAGGTTGCACCTACTTACCAGTTTTATATTTTATGGAAGGTTTTCATGAGAGGCAGACATCCCAGCAGGAAATGCTGTGATTAAGTTGGTGCTGAAGGCTATCACATGCAGGAGGATAGGTTTGCCATTACACTAAATCTGCTCAGAATTTTGAGGAAACTAGATTTTTTAAGCTGAAGCATCCCGAGCAAATCATAGTCATAGGTCACTTTGAAACACTTGTTGAAAATGTTACAAGACTATGTCAGGTCGGTGTGAAACAATTAACTGTCAGATGACATTTTAGATGACCACTTTGTTACAAAAGACTGGAACGTTCCAGTTTCTGTTTCCAGTGTTTCTAGGACTTTTCTAGATGTTGCTTCAGGAACAAATGCTATTGTAACACAGAAGTAAACAACACGATAATTGAATATTTCTTAAAAAAAATGACAGTGAAACAGTCTCTGGTTTCCATCACCTGAGGTTTCTCCTTCATGGGAGGAAATGAATCCAGGCACATGTGTTAATTCATATTTGTGAAAGTAATGGATGCTGACATGTGCACTGAACAGCTCTAGAGATGGTAGTAACAGAAGAGTAGCCACTCTCCTGATTCTTACCTGTCTRTGGCCAGCTTTCTCCATACTCCAGTTTTCCCTAAGTTCTCCCAGTCCTCATTTGCAGGGAGGCCGTGAAAGGCTGTAAGGGGAAATTAGTGAAGATGGGGCAGAAGTAGATACTGAAGGAAGTAAGAATAGTGCAAGCATGGAGTGATGCTTCTGTGATGTGCTTTTCCTGTTGGAGTTTWTGTGGGGGTCAGAATCCCACTGAGCACAGGGTTGTGATTTGGTTTTAATAATCCTGGTAGTTTTTTGTGTGAAAAACTTTTCCCATTGCCTCTTAAWTTCACATAAGGTGTAGTATGGACAACAGGCTGTGACGAGGGGTTCCAGTGGCTGGTGATGTGTTTTGTGAAGGACCCTCTGTGGTACCTGTGAGCTAAACACCTGCTGGTTGGATTTGGTATTCCACAAATCTGTCATGGATTRGGACAGTGAACCCAATCCCTGTTCGTTTTCTTGCATCTGTAATAGATGTATAGACCATTTGTAGTGGAAATGCACTCTTGTCATCTTCAGGTGGATGAGTAGTACRGAATTTTTGGAGGAAAACGTGAAGTTTGTGATGATTTGGTGAATTACTTCATGTGTCTTTGAATAGAGATTTTAAAAAGACATATAGAGGTAGCTCTAAAAGTACTATCTTATCTTTAATGTTCTTTCTGCAATCTCTACATATGTAAGTGTATATCAAATTTATCACTTGGCTCTTTGTATAAAGGTGTATTGTTTTGAGAGCTGGGTAAAGTAGATTTAATAAACTTTTTTTTTTGTTAATACATTTTCAGGTAAGGCTGAATGTTCTATTATAGTGTGTGTATTATACATCTCTTGACATATGTATGATCTTCCAACCAAAGTAATTTTCTTTGCTTTTTAAATAGCTTTGGTTTTTAGATAGCTTTCTGATTCTGCTGTTAAGAAGCTGAGGAAGAAGTTCATATTTTCACTGGCCATGTTTTTAAGATGATGGTAACAAAACCTGACTGGTGTTAAATTCCTCAGCTCAACACGATTTCTACCTTGCATGATTTTGTAGTATATTAAGAGAATTGGCAGGTTTCAGTACAGGGTTATCTTCTGCAAAAGAGCATCTATTTCTCTGAATATAAATAGGAGTCTCGAAGAAAATCTTGTTCAAGTTGTCGGCAGCTATTTATTTACATACAGAATAGACATAAAAGTTGAAAGAGCACCTCTGAAGATGTGTGTGCCATATGCTTTGTCTGTTCTTTGTGCATACATGCTCTTGTTAGTGGTATGTATGTTCTTTGTCCTTAGTTGTAGGAGAAAAGCAGCTATGATGAGATTGAACATTGAAAATCTTAATGCTTTGGAAATACAGCTGTGGTTATKCTGTGTTCCTGGAGTGCTCTGGTCAGAGATTAATAAATTAATTAAACGTGGTTTGTGAGATGAATGATGGGATTCAGTGTCAAAGGCTGTGTAAACCTGAATTACTCCTGTACTGTGCAGACGGATGTGTTCCCATTTTAAATGCCTCAAGTGATGGGACTTCCTGAACTTCACTTGAAGAACACAGAAACATTTTAACATCTCTACTATTCTAGTTTTCTTTTGCTTTGAGTATCTTTTGAGTAACCTCCCTTGGCTGTGGTCAGGTCTTCCCAATATATATGACTTCACAAAAAGAGCTGAACAATGTTGTTAGCCAGTAAGTATATTTATTAACTTTTTTTTGTTTGTTCTTATCTCATCAGATAGCTCAACATGAACTTTAACCATCGAGATAATTTAAAAAGTGAACAGAATAATATCTTTTCTTCTGAGAGCTGTCCACGGGACTCTGGGTTTCTCCTGCAGAGCAGTCCTGTTCACTGCCTTTTCCTGAAACAGGACATGGAGCTACGTTCCTTTCTTCATGTTCGGCGCTAACAAAGTTTWTTTTTTTCATCAGAGGAAATGCAGATCCATAAAATTACATTTTGTGCAAGTAAGTTAATGAAGGGGTGTTTAAACCTTGCTATCGCATCATTGCTCTTTCGTTTGTAGTGATACAGCTCCCAAAAGTCCCTGTCAGGATTGAGTTCCAAATGGTAGAGATGGTTATTGTCAGAGAACCATTACAGTTTAAAGCTCCTCTGCAATTTTGTTGTGCTCTTGAGCTGCTGCCTTGGTTATATGGTTAGCAGCATAGTTAAGAAAGTGGGTCCGTCTGCATTCTGTGTGAATTGTCCTTCTGGGAACATGTGCATGAACTCAAAGATAGGTAACAGTTTCTACAACTGGGTTTATTTTCTTGAATGCTGCATTCCAGCATGCTGATCTAGAGGAGTTCCTGGAGTTGGGGTTGTTTTCAGTTTTTGCATCCAGCTGATGGAAGCACTTTGTTCAGGAGGGAATTCTCTAGTGAAGTGCTGAAATAACAAGGGCACCTGATAAAAGCCCCAAGGTATTCAGCTGACTGCGGTCAGCAGTGGCCTTTATGGCTGTTACGGCTTTGGGGAAAGTGTGATGTGCTGTACAAGTAAAATACAAGGGCATTAATTTGGAATTTATTCAGCTAATGTGATGCGTCTCAAAGAAGGTTGAAGTTTGACTGCTGATGGAGCTGAATTTATTAAACTGAAAATGACAACACATTTTCAGTGCTTACATTATTATATGAYTCTCTCTCTCTCTGAGGAGCAAATAACCTTGAGAAACCTGAATGTTGTTGATTATTCATTAAGTATCCTGATGGATATATAGCCTTTGGGGAGTGGGAAATARAGAAGATGAGAGTTCAGGTGAAAAAAATAATTATTTCCTGTCTTTTGTGAAGAGGCAGTGTTTTCTGGGGGGAAAATTTTGATTTYTGACTTGTGAGAATACAGTCCTTCAGTTGGTGAGGCTTGTAAAGCACCCTTAAYGTCATAGTTTGAAAGGTGCTGTAARCATRTCAGTATCAMACACAAAAGCATATTTCAGCTGTRTCCAGAAATCTGTTTCCTTTTGCAGTTTGTGACTGTATGGAACTTGAGTAGCATCATCTGAGGGAGGCAAAAATATTTTTTCATAGTGTCTGAAGTGATAGGTGTAGTATATGGTAGGAGTCTRCAGAGCAGTGTTAAGAACTGAGGAAGTGTTTGCTTTTGGCTTCATATAAATTCTAGCGGTTCGCCCACTTGTAGGAGAACAAATTTGTGTACTGATGCTTAGCAGATAAGTAATCCTTCTTTTAATACTTGGCTTGCTAAACTTTTGAATGTTTTGATTTAAKGTAGGGTTTGAGGAACCCTTTGTGGCTCATGTAGATTAGTAGGTCCTGTTCAGTTTAGACTTGAGTTATAGTTTTAAATCCTCACTATGCCCCAGTTGAAGCCTGAACCCAGTAGACAGCTTGAGAAGTTTGATTCATCACAGTTGACTATTGTTTCTACTTTTACCTTAATCTGATTCCTCCTGATTTGTGTTTTGTTGCAGGTTKTCGCTAATTCTGTTGGCAATGTCTATGATTTTATCTGCCTCTGTGGTCCGTGTGAGGGATGGACTCCCACTGTCTGCATCGACTGATTATGAGCAGAGCACGGGAATGCAAGAATGTAGAAAATATTTTAAAATGCTCTCAAAAAAACTTTCTCAACTTCCTGATAGATGTACTCTGAAAACTGGACAGTATAATATAAAGTAAGGCTTCTCATTTATGTATTTGCAACATCCTRGCTTGTSTCTGTCTGTAAGTTAAAAAGTTAACAGTTCACATTAGAAATGCATAATCAAACTAAGACTGATTCTTGACACTATTTATGTATCAGAAATTTAAAGCTGAGAAATTGTATAAAGATTTGACATAAAGATAAAATTTTCATGGAAGTTCCTTTACAAGGGTGCAGAGTTACAGGACARCATCATAGGAAGAGTGGCTTTAGACCAAAAGAGTAGKTTTGGATTAGATATTAAAAGAAATTCTCTAATGTTTATAGTTAGCTTGCATTTTAACTGGTCTGAATTCTGATTCTAATTTAGATATTCTAAATGAGGTAAATTCCTCTTAACCAACCCCTAGTAATGTAGAAAGTTACAGTGGTGGAAAGTCTACCACCTAAATGATCCTAGAAAGTGCTCAGYCCTCTCCATCTCTTATTGGGATATGTGAGTTTCCAGCATTTCTTGGATTAAGGCCCATGATGGACTAAATTGTTTAAGTCAATTTTTTCCAGGCCAAATTTTTTTGGCCTGTAAACTAATTACCTTAAAACAAACTTTGAAGAATGAGATATAAGGCTTAATCATGCTAGTTTTTACCACTTTTGTCTTTAATTACTTTTAATGCTGGAAGTTATCCAGCAAGATTTTGAAGAAATTTGAATGYATCATGGAAACCTGAACTCTAATGAATTGCCTAAATGCAAAAGGGAGTATGTGTATTGATAACTGTCCTTTTCTGATTTCATATTTGACACCTCTGGTTGTCCTTGCAGCTGTCTTTTGAGAATGATTAATTCTGCATGCTACAGAAAAGTTTTATTTTTTCCTGTGTTCTACAAATAACCAACAGCCCTCCCCCCAATTTGAAGATAAGGTTTTGTATTTTGGGGATTCATCAGATCACATATTGTACTTTTGAGACAAGTGACAARCCTGTCATGTTTCTGAATCCTAAAGGCTTTGTTATATGATGTTTCACACGTGTGTGTATGTTTACACATATATGTGTAATACAGAGTCCCATGTGATCGTACAATGTGGTGTTCAGGTAAAGCATTACTTAAAAGGAAATTGTTTTTCTTCTAGAATACTATTGCACTTTTAATAACTGGTAAACAGTTATTCCTTTGCCACCCCAGATAAATTTTTGTTTTTCTGATTATWGAATATGGGGTCAGCCTAGACAAGCAGTTAATTCACTGAATTTAAATTTGAAATTTTGAATATATTTTCTGAATTCTAGCTTTATAAGTTCTCTGGGAGTGAGCTATATGATGTTGTGCACTGAAAATTATCCCAGTGTCCTGGCATTCTGCTTCCTGGATGAGCTTCAGAAAGAGTTCATCACTACCTACAATATGATGAAGACAAATACTGCTATCAGACCATACTGTTTTATAGAGTTTGGTAAGGATCTGAGTTTTTTCCTCCCTTCATTCGCTTTCTAAGACAAATGAGTATTTAAATAGATGCAACTTAATGCACACAAAACAAAAATGTCCAAAGCAGTTTATAGCTCTGTTTCAGGGGGATTTAGAATCTGATTTAACTCTTGTTAAGAGTTAGTAAAGAAATACTTTTGGGGGTATTAAATTAGGCTACTAGAGTTTTATCCAGACTTATTTCTGTTGATTCCATTAGGTTTTGGTTTAATGTGACCAACTCTGGAGTTCATCTTCTAGTTAATAATACTAGGAGTTGTTTGATTTCATACCTGTTGAAATACTTAACCTGTGAAGTCATAGAGCTTGATAAATTTCTCAAGTAAAAGCTTACAGTTTCATAGCTCTTAGCTATACTACCTTTTGTTCAGCACATGAAAGGGAGCAATTTTTATTTGTCTTATGATGTAATGAAGCCTTTAATCTTCAGACTCACTCTAAATGTAACTCATATCTACTAGATAACAGCTGTTATGAATTCCATTAATTTATGTAGTTTTAATACTATGTGTKAGAAATTACTACAATCTTACAAAACTTTACTTACTTAAAAAACTTACAAAATTACTATAAATCTGACAAAACACATTAGAACAAAAGAGCTGCAATTTTAGAAACATGGAGGAAGATATTCCATTTGGTTAATTCCTGTATATAATTCAGTCAGTCAGTTATTGACAATTTCTGTATGATGTTACTGTCCTCCTTGTGAAGATTTCTATGAACACTTGTTTCCTTCCACAACATAATTTTTTTTTCATAAGGCTATTTACTAAACTATCAGAAAAGCTAGAAAAGTGCAGTAAATCTGTTAAATTAGAAATGCATTCAGTCTTATGCAGTGGAAGTAATGAGTTTATTCACAGTAATTATATAATTAGATTTTTAGAACTTAGTTGGCTTTTTTTTTTAAACTGCAGAATTAAATAACCCATGATGTATTAGGCACAAAACAGAAATAGTCTTAAAAATACCAGATAAATATGAACATTTCAGACAATATATTTTAGTTTGTGAACTGAAAAGTTGCATGGTTTTGGATTGTGTAATCAACAAAGTCCATAAAAGCACACCTTTTTATTTTTAATTTTGCACAGACAATTTCATTCAGAGGACCAAACAGAGATATAACAACACACGTTCTCTGTCCACAAAGATGAATCTTGCTGACATGCAGACAGAAATCAAACTGAGACCACCGTATCAAATTTCTGTGTCAGAACTTGGTTCAGCCAATGGGTTTTCACATATATCTGTGGGGGAGTATAAGGGTACTGGTAAGATATCTGCAGGTAAGTTCCAGACTTCTGTTGTTGTATCCTTAAATAAGACAGATGCAACCAAATTCTTTTTCTTTAAAAAAAAGGTTTTTTCGTGTTTCTAAAATGTAAAGCTGGTATGACCTTATGTGTATTTTAGCTCAGATGTCTGTTTTGTCCCCTGCTCCAAATGCTTACATTCCCAAGACACTCAGAGGGACAAATGTCTCTGTTCAATGGACTGTTTTATTGAAGGAAAAAARCCCTGCAAGTGAAGATGAGCACTTAAGAAGATGATCTTTCTTTTCTGACCTTTTAAGATTTCTGATTATTTTTATTATTTCTGCCCAGTAAGACTCAATGTTGATATAAGCTGAGAGCAGTCTCAGGAGTTAGAGCAGCAGGAGGGAGAAGCATCACTTTTGGAAGCCTCTGCAATAGTGAAAATCCAAAGAGCTGTGYTGGCTAAAAGATGCACTCTCTAAAATGAGTGCCTTGTGCATGATTTTAAGAATCGCAGTTTTGTATAAAATTGCCAAATTCATTTAAGTAGCCATTAATTTAAAAAAAAAAAATCAATTTACTTAGTGTGGAAGGTAAATGTAGAGTTGTGGGGTTGAGCTGGGTTAAAGGTTTGTGCTATTAAATGAATCTTCTGAATCAGTTTGAGGCCCAAATTCAGATGTTCCCCAGCAGGACAGAAACAAAATGCCAGATCCTTGGACTAATACGTGGACTCCACATGTGGGACTGACATCATCTGATTTCAGTCTTCCAAGTTTAGAGAAGCAAAATCATAAACAGAATGGAAGGAAGTGTTGATTTTAATTAGTTAATRTATTTCCCTTTCTTTTTCCAAAAGTATTTCTGCCTGTAAATTATCCTGAGCAGGCACACAACTGATGCTGTGTCAGGATGCAGTCATAAAGCATAGAATTGCAATYGTAAATCTAAACACCTCCTACAATGTTGTAATAAATGAGGGTTTGTGTGGTTTATGTATATGTATTAATAGGATCTCTTTGCCAGTATATTATCCTTATTATGTACTTACTCGTAAGGATTACTCTGGAATGTTWAAAACTGCTTTCTACAGAAGATGAAAGCCAAACAGAATCAGTAGGGTGCCCTGTTTGTACTCTGGGGTTCTGATTCTGAGAATTCCAGGTGCTACAAGACAGTATAGAAATGGTTTACAGTCTCTGTATTTGCAATTTAACAGTATTAGAGTTAGATTCTGGAAAATTAATAAAGGAAAAAYGTGAAGATTTTTAAATTGTTCAAAAGAGTGAAATCTTTGAAGCAGCTCTGTGCATACCTTGGTCATCTTTTTACATGTGTGGGTTCTTTTTAAATGAATTTAATTCTGTGATACCACTCTTTTGCCACTTTTGGTTCTTATATTGYTGCTTACTCTTAATGTTCTGGTGTAATCCTGCTTTGTGGAAAAGGTTATAGTGGCAGAAGTGGCAGCTGGTCAACTCWGAAAATTGTCTAGATTCAAACTTCCTGTAGCTGGGGAAAGAAAAAAGAATAAGCATGAGAGAACTTAGCCTGTGTCAAAATGGACTGTTATTTAAAAGTTGTCCATGTAGTGGGAGATGTGTTTTTTATCACTTTTTTGAGTAAGAATGTTGGAAGGTTGTACAGGCCTGAATTGAAATACATAGGGAACATTTCCCTTTTTTACTAAAAAAGAAGATTTGACAATAATTGGCAGGTGATCTTCTAATTTTTTTTACTTACCTCCTTACTCCACAGCTTCTTACAGAAGCAGTTTTGTTGTCCTCTTTTCTTTCCATGTCGATTTTCTTCTGTTTCTCTTTCAGTTGCTTTTAACATTTCCTCTTCCTCTGAATTCCATAGATCTCTGTTCAGTTACCCGCTTCCTTCCTTGAGTTGCTGTAGGAACTCACCATCAAAGGGCTGTACATTACGAGAGGTTGGCACTTTGCTCCTTCAGCTCTTCACATTTTAGATGCTGTTGAATAACACTGTCTTTTTTAGCAAGTCTGCTAGTAGTTTTGTAGTTCTTTTCATTCATCACTTCTCTCCACCCTTGAAAAGAACTTTCTCTGGATGTTTGCTGCCCACTCAGTTGGCTGAACTTCCAAATTTCTCCTTTGCCCGAAGGACWGATTCTCACAAAAAGATATGTTTTGCCTAGTGGAATTTCCTGAATATGCTGTACTGTTAAAAAGCAGGACTTGCTGTAAGTGAACTGTGTTAAATAAAGTTGGAGAGCATGCAGAGGTGGGTAGTTAGGTGGATGCAAATCTTGATTTGTTGTGCAGAATGGCAGAGTTGGAGGCATTAGTTTGGGCCGTGGTGGGGAAGCAGTGGCTCTTGCTCACACGGTGACTGGAGGTGTAGCCAGGGTGCAGTGTCCAGGCCTCCTGTGTAAGCTGAGTACTTGCAGGTAGGAGCCCTCTTTCCTCAGAGAGTTGTGCAGTGCAGTGAGGAATAGGGGTAATTCTGCGTGTGGGAAGCATMAAGTGAAGATTATGGATAGAATCTTGCTTCCAACGTGCATGTAGGTGTTGGCAGGCACTAGAAATAGGGTCCACAGCRTGCTGATGTGTGATGTTTCAGGTTAGGATAAATTTACTATTTTCTGCAATTTTTTTTCTATGAAGGAGCAGTTGTCAAATCTGAGTTATTTTTCGCCTGATGGTAACTCCATGCTTTTGGTTTTAGGGTTTTTTTTACTTTTTAGTTTTAAAAATAAACATCGTTACAAGTAGTGCAGTTTCTCATATCATGTGRATTACCTGAATTTTTATTTAAATGTCAACATTAAGTTCAGAATTTGTGTTTGAAAATTTTTGATATGGCACTTGCCATATTTCTAAGATTGATGGATGTACCAATTCAAAGTCAGTTGCCCTTTAACCTGCCTTCTTGGACATTCCTTCTTCATTCTTTTGATTTTTCTTTCATCTTTTTGCTTGTAAATGACTCTTGTTGCTTTGATTATAACACTARAATTGGTTGAGCCCTGGAGAGTTCAGTGACATTAGTAATGGTATATAATGTCTTTTAGTTTTCATATTTTTAAATGAGAGAAGTTAGTATATTATTAACCTTCATAGACTGTCTTGATTTAGCTGGCCAGACTCTTTACTTTTCCCCCCATGGTTCTCAAAGAGCTGTTCTAAATGATGCTTTAGTATATGATTTTAAGTTACCCAATATATGAGAAAAAGGAGATTTTCTGGAGAGCTGTGAGTAGAGAGCACTGAACTAATTTTATCTACCAGTTAAGGGAATTGAATTTCTTTTGGCTAAAAACAGTCATACACACCCTCAGCTTTTTGCCACTGTCTAGATGAGATGGTTTWAAAAAAGCCARAAGAAAACAACCAGTTGGGAGTAATTGAAAAAGAATGGTTTGGTCTGCAAATAGCMTATCTAGCATATCTAACCTTAACTAAGTGATTGCTGGGAATAATGTTTCCCTGTTAGGAAAAYAGTGAGCTCTCAAAGTTAAACATGGGTTATGCTTTTGTTTAAAAAAACCCACAACTGATTATACACTATTAAATTCAGCACAAATGAATTAACTGAACTCATCCTGTATTTTATTTTTGTGTTATCGAACACTCATAATTAGACAGCCATGCCTGCTTATCAATGTGAAATAGCTTTTGTTGGTTTTTTTTTAGGTTCTGTAACTTCATAAACTGTTTGAAAAACCTTTTTCCTGGCTCTGTGCAATACAAACAACCAGGATTGACACCCCTCTCCCCATTAATGTTACAGTTCATTAACCTCATTGTTCTCATCTTTACACTTGGATGATTTGAACAGAATGATTTGAGTACAGCTCAGTAGTCCCATTGTTTTCCCAGTGTCGCCCAGACTGTTAAGAGTTTTGCATTGTTTTTTCACATTTGCTTTCTGTTATTCATTATGGAAAGGGACAGTAATGAGGAACATACATAACTGTTACATAGTTGTGACCCTAGATAGGCTTGAAAGAGTGGGTGTATGTGGAAAGTGTTTTAATTTTAATGTGTTTTGCTTGCAAGAGGCTAAGCACAATCTGGAAGGTCCATGTAAGATTGTAATACAGATCCCAGCTGAATTTCAGAGCTGTTTCTTTATGTGTGTCTTTGGTAGCTTTCACTCTGTTTTTAAGGAAGGGTACTGTGATAGCTTTGCCTTAGTGTTCTCTTCAGCAAACAAGCTAAATCAGCCTCAGTATCTCACTGATGSATTAGTGTTAAAGAAGAGGGGAAGTTGTGAGAGAAGCTCTTAAGTACATGACTTATTAGCTGGTTACTAATTATGGACAGATTTCAATAGCAAGTGCATCTTTTACTATTGATTTCCTGGCATGTTTGAGCAACCACCAGTACCATACTGAATAAATGGAACATATTGAGGTAAAGACTAAATATAACAAGACAATTCTAAATGTGAACCGGAGGAAAAYTTGCTTTTCTAAACCTTGTGCTGAAATATTTACAATATTTTGTCATTTTAGGAAAAAAAAAAGACATTTTGTGGTTTGTTTTGGTGATCTCTTGAGCTAGAAGCCACTGAAAAATGATATTATTATTTTACTGAATTTCWAAAGGCATTGCTTTGACCTCTGATATCCTTTTTTTTTATCTTCATTGCAGCTCCTCATCAGCGTCTGGAGCCTGTGACTCTGCCAGGAATTGTCTCATTTGTGCTTAGTCTGTTATGTGGAGCTTTGAATTTAATCCGTGGCTTCCATGCCATAGAAAGCCTTCTCCAGGTATTRTACATGCTTATGAATTTAAAAGTCATGCATCATAGCAGTCACAATTATCATTTTAGAAGATGGTCTATGAACTAAGTGGTGCCAGTTTTATTATAGAAGTACTGTTTGTGAGGTCAGGCTCTGTTATGAAATCTGCATTGTTTGCAATCTGTGCATTCTCCTTGAATATGCTGCCTCATTCATTGGGGCTACGAGTTTTAACAGCAGTGGAAGGTGGGTGGGCAGCTCCTTCCCTGRTACCTTGGTAGCAGTGAGGATGTGAACATAATGTTCTGTTTTCTAAATTTATGCCAGGGTATGAGGTGTTTAATTTCTATAGATGCTATTTAAAAGCACTTGAGTGAAATGATGAACAGCTTTGAAAATCTGGGCAGTTTTTTTGAAAAGTCCACAGAGCGGGAATCTTCAAACAGGTTTTGTAAAATCGTTTTTTAGAGAATTTTTGTAGTTTTTTGTTTGTATTTAATAAGCCATATGTAGGATGCCTATTTCTCGTGTGCTGAAAGGATCACAGTGTCAGAAAAYTGTCAAGTGATTTCTTCTAAATTCCCTTCATGTCCTCCAACAACATCCCCCTCATCAAACAACCTCTCCAGACCCCGTTTTTTCCTGTAAAATCTCTGCAATGACCCTCCCTGTAGCCTTTCAGTTTCTTTCTATTCCATTTCTTGTGCTGGTTGTATTCTCACAAGTGCCACAATGTCATTTATAATGGTTTACGCTTTCAGGTAATTCAGGTGAATATACTGGTTGTACTTGCAGGCATGCACAGAAAGTTCATGTTTGCTGCCACAAAAAAAAAAAGGGATCTTGTCATTTAATGGTTCTGTTGTTGTGGTGATAGACATAGAAACTAAAAACCTCATGGAAGTTTTCTGAAACAAAATCTTAATTCTCTTGCTTGGCCAATAGATAGTTGTTTTATTCACACATATCTGGACTTTACAGAGTCATGAGTAATTTAGGTTGGAAAGGATCTGAGTCCAACCATAACCCAGCACTGCCAAGCTCACTAAACCATGTTCCAAAGTGCCACATCTACTAGGCATTTGAATTCCTTCTGGGGTGGTGACTCAAGCRTTTTCCTMGGCAGCTTGACAGCCSTCTCAGTGARGAACTTTTTCCCCTGGTGCAATGTGAGGCCATTTGCTCTCATCTTACCCCTTGTTACCTGKGAGAAGAGCCCGATCCCCACCTTGCTACAATCTCCCAGTCACCTTTCAGGGAATTGCAGAGAGCTGTTAAGTTCTCTCCTGAGTCTCCTCCAGAGTTAACAGCCCAAGTTTCCWCAGCTGCCCCTCATAAGCCTTGGTYTCCAGGCCTTTTACCAACCAACTGCAGTATTTTTTATACTTAATGGATTCCTTTTAGGGAAATAAGGTAAAGAAGAATATCAGTATTCTAGTTGTCTTACACAGTATTGATGCATGTAAAGATTTAATAAGCAGTACTGCTGAGGTCTCAGCATTTCATGAAGACTAGTGGGTAGATGARCAGGGTTAATTAAAATGTTCTATGCTAGGTCTTCTTTTTGAGATGTCTCTGGGTTGTTTTTTAGAGAAAGACCAAGTGAACCTAAATCTTCACTTTATCCCTAATTAGGTTTTTCTGTGTTATGCACAATTCTCTGCGTTTATAAATAGGAATGAGTTTAAAGTATGCTGTAGTACAAATAGTACTGAACAGATTTCTGTCAGTTAGTGTGATGTTGCTAAAACTTACTTTGCTACCTTTCTGCAGCTGATTTTTTTAAAAGGAATGCCAATGTTAGATTAATCTATTTAAGTGATGACAGGACATACAGTTAATTTTATTCTCTGTGTTATTGCGTCCGGAGGTAATAGATTGCAGTACAGATGGAAGATAATTTTAATTTCTGATAAATGAGGCACACTAAAAATCCATTAAAATTTCTCTTAATTTACTTTATTATGGAAAAAYCTACAAAGTTTAAGGAGAAATAATCCAAAACACAATTAATGGAACGTGTTCTAAGAAGTCAGTCAAAAGCATCTCTCTGAATTAGTTTGCTTTATAATCAGTGGTTTTTTTGGGTGTTCATAAAATTCTGTTACAGTCTGTAACTGTGCTCCACCAAATACGCAGTGGCACTGAGGCACTTACACACTGTGCAGAAGTTACTGCATTGTGTATGTCGTTTTTATGTGCAGGCATGCAAAGTTTTTCCTAGTCAGCACTGAGATGGAACTGCTTCACACTGAACATAAGCTCAGCAGACACAAGTTGTTCTTTTGAATGGACCACCATCTTCCCAAAGTGATTTTTGCTCTCAAGGAGGAATATTTGCATGAGTACCCATTTTTTCCCTAGGAAAGTTTCTGTGATTGCAGATGTTTGTTGGAAATGCAGTTAGAATAGTCACTGAGCATGTAAATTTATTCTGCTCAGGTCTGCAACTATAACAGCCCGTTTGAATAAATTAGAAGGATTTGTTTTGTTTTCTAAACACATAGTAGAAAAATCTGTCATGTCAAGTAAACTTTTCCATCTTTCCTTCAAGAAAACCTTATTTTCCAAGTCTGACAAATTCCTGTGCTGCTGTTTGCTCTCACTGAATGAGCACAGAGTCATTATTCTCTGTGTAGAGTTTTACCCCACCCTAGTGGCCAGTTTGGTTCCTTGCCTCTTACCTCGTTTCCATTTTGTGGAGCTTAAGGAAGGCACGAAGTTGATATTAAAGCTGGTTTACCAGTGTTTAGACTTGAATTTTCAATGGCATCTGGAAAAGGTGAGTATCCAGTGTTAGAGCTAGACTTCTTTAAAGCTTTTGAAACTCTTGGTATTAGTTGTGAGTAAACATTTTGGTCAGACTTCAGATCATGATTTTTTCACAGACATGAAGGTAAGCACTGACTAGTCCTAACTCTTGGTTTAGTGTGGTAGAGGAATTACTATAAATCTCGATAGGAAAATATTTTAACATGCAATAATTCATAACTTTCATATTGTAAATGCCTGGTATTTCACTGGAACATTGTAAAACATGGCTTTTTGTTTTATTCTCACAGAATGAAGGTGAAGATTTCAGCTACGTTATTGCATTTTTTCTTGGAACGGCAGCCTGTTTGTACCAGGTGTGTTCTTCTGTTTGCATAATTCACTWGAGTTTAGAAACATTACCCAGTCATGCATAAATGTCATCATGTTTTCTTAAATGTCACAGATACTTGAATAGAGTGATTATAAAAAATAATTTCTGCTCTGGTTTCTTTTCATTAATCATAAACTATCATGTAGTAGTAGATTGATACAAAGAGTTTCTGTATGGCAGTAWTTTTTCTCTGGTTGGATGATTAAGATGTTTAATTAAGACAATTATCTCTTAAAGTCACAAGCAGTAGAAGTTATATTATTTTCTTGAAGTAATGGTTTCATAGTTAAAGTAGATGTAACCTGAATAAATACTGCTTCTTCCCTTGTGGTGTTCAGCTTTTGTTGACTTCCCATCAACTTCTGCCTTAAATAATTTAGATTGGTGTTAATTTTCCATGCCAACAATCTGTTCCATATCAAATAAGGTGGAGCTCCTCCATTCTTTTTTTCGTGTAAAAAATACACATTTTCCCTGCTCTTTTAAACTGGCAACCTTGTTCTTTATAAAGTATTCATGTCTGTGCGTTGAAACATAAGCACGTGTATCTTTCCTCCACTGTTTGCCTTGAGCAGAGCTKTATAAAAGAAAGAATCCAAGCAACTTGGAATGTAGGCTTTTTATTAATATTCAAAATACATCTGTTGAAACTCTGCTTCCCACCACCGGTATCATTCCTGCAATATGTGATYGGTCAGTTTTCAGAATTAAGAGGAATGGTGGTTCCCTGGCATGTTGTGATGTTCTTTTGCTACAGTTAAGAGCTCAGGACATTAATTCTCTGTGTTGCATGACAGCACCTTCACTGTCGTTCACCCACCAGGCATCCATCATGCTGTATTGTCTAGTTCAGTTAATAACAACACAGCAGGGTGTCTCTAGATTCCAATAAATGTTTGTAGCCCAGGTGTGCAGGCAAAAGAACCGGATTTACATGGAATGTGATGTTTTAAGCTCACTGACACGTCTAGTGTTGTTTCATAGTTTCTAGTGTTTTATAAAGAGGAAAAAGTAACAACTGTCTCAGTTGTACTGGAAGTGCAAAGCATCAGGAGCTGAACCTTCAGTCATCTCTTAACAGTTAAAAAAAAAACCCCAAAAATAACCAAAAAAAAAATAAAACATCATCAAATATCAAAATCTTCTCTGAACTAGCACAGAGGAGTCTTCTCCATAAAAGCATGCTCAATAATTGCCATGATAACATCTCCCTTTAGTAGTAGAAAAACATGCTTCAGGAGTTTCATAACAATATTAGTTATAGTAAGTTGATGAAATGGCGGTGTTTTGGCCTTTTGAGTGTTTTTTGCCTTTTTATCTTTTCTGTAAGAAGCAAATACAGTAGTTCAGACCTAGACTAATGAAAGATACATGTCAGAATTCATTTAAAACAGTTCCTCAGTAAAATTCACAGTCATTCGACATCATGTTATGGTAACTTTTTTAAACTACTGTAGTATTTGTTTTTTCAAGCCTTTATTAGTCATTTTGATGAAGCATATCCTGACTCTTGTTTTAATATTGGAAGCAGTCACACTTGCTCATTGTCAGTGGAAGTGACAACACTAGGAAATAATCTGAATTCTTACTGCTGAGATACCAGTACTAGCTAATTGCTTTTATAGATATGATTTGTGAAACTGTCAGCACAAGTAGGTTGCATTTACTCTGCTCAGAATGGCCAAGCAGGTTCAGAACAATTTGTCTACATTCTGAAATGTGGATTATTTGTCTCTAGTTTTACTTAGCTTTGTAGGAAGGACATACAGATCTTACTGATACTGCCAGTACTCACCTCTCTAACAATATTTAGATATCCAGAATTTAAAAGTAACTTTGTTGATCTCAGGCAGACTTGTAGTGGAAATGCATGCTTTGTAACAAAGTGGTTGAGTTCAAATAGAATGTAAAGTAACCTCAATAAATTAAATTGTTCAGTTGCTCATTTTTGAGGAACATGAAAAATGAAAAGAAAATTAAGTAGAATTTTTTTGACTGATAAAACGTGGCAAATGCCCAGGAAGAACAGAAATGGCACTTTAGATAATCTGATGATGGATGCTGTTAAATCTGTGTGACCATGGTTATAAATCCACTGGGAACAGATTTGGAATAGAAAGTAAGCATAAATGCTGTTCTTATCTACCTTAAAGCTCAGGAAAAACTTCCTTCAGCAAACATGACCTGAATCCAGGGGAGGAGTAAAGGATTTTTTTTTTTATTTTGTAGCAGTTAAGGGAGTAGTTGAAACAATAGAAGAAATAAAAACGTCTGAGTGAAAACTGTGTCCTTTTAGAGATAAAAACTGAGGCAAGAGACTTGAATTACAGTAGGAAGGAAGCTGAGTGAGGAACTATGSCCAGTCCTGACAGTGTTACATTGCAGTGTGCAGAACAGACTCTAGAAWGTGGTAGAGTTATAGTAGAGTAGTTGAGTTTCTCTGCAAATGGAATCAGTCTTGCAKCAGCTGAAGCAGGGCAGTGGGTGTGGGCCTTAGCACCTACCAGTTAACCCTCAGCATCAGCCCTGGCCAGACACTGGGAGGTATCTGGGGAATTGCCTTGTGCTGAGCTGCAGGGCCCTGGTGTCGTCCTTGTCCTGCCATGACTTTCCTGAAAAAGACTTCACAGTGGCTCTTGTTCTTTCTCCACTGCTTGAGCAGAGCAGAATGTGTTTTCACCAGAGATTGCCAGGAACATCCACTTTATTTTGTCACAGGCCACTCATTGCAGTCTGCAATTAATTATCATGAGAGGATTGTTCTCAAAGAGGGTTTAAGGCAAGCAAAATGTGACCTTCTATTGATACCAGGTACTCTGCCCCTTCTATGACTGCTGAATTGATAATGTTCTTACATATTTKATTGAGACTTTTCTTTGGTTTAGTCTGTAATTTTTCACTGACTAGATAGTGTTTCTTCAGTAGAAGTTTTTTTCCATGCTGTAACCTGATTTGTTTTTTATTTCCTGACAGTGTTACCTGTTTGTGTACTACACAGGCTGGAGGAATGCCAAATCCTTCCTGACTTTTGGGTTGATCTGCCTGTGTAACATGTACCTGTATGAACTGCGCAACCTGTGGCAGCTCTTCTTCCATGTGACTGTGGGAGCTTTTTCTACCTTACAAATCCGACTGCGACAACCCCAGGGAAAATCCCCTGATTACAACGTCTGACAAGTCCTGGAACACTGAGACAGAGTCTCGTTCCAATAGTTACTCTCAGGAATGTAAAGCTGTTCTCCAAAAGAAGAAGCTGTCTGGATGGGGCTTTTTTTTTTAATAAGTCAATGTAAGATGCCTGTGGACATTTTGCACTTGGTGGTTGAACCTTTTTTTTAATTATTTTTTTATTTTCTTGAAAAGGACACAAAAGTATATGGGACTCGGGGAGGAAAAAGGAGCATATCCATGCAGTGAAATGTATGCAGGGACACCAATTTTGTGGAGTATGACTGGTGGCATAAAAATGCTTCATTCATACATCCATGGAGGTAATCTGTTATGGAATTATCTGATGTTACCAGATGATCGATCACATTATCTGATGATAAAGTGGAAACACATTTGTTAATGGAGGAATGTGTAGAGTATCTTCTGCATATCATGCAAGCTTTTCACTTCCAAGGTCAGTTTTGCCTTTGTGAGGCAGTAGGGAATAGGCTAAAWCAGTAATAATAATGCTATTGCATATTAGCAAACTAGATGTGGAATATGTAAGATACTAAATTTTGGAATGTTTTGTTTCACATTGACAAATATGTGAATGTTTTCTTAATTAAAATGTAACCTGGAGACTCAGTTTCCGGGGATCGGCATCAGCCGTGGCGCTCTGTCTTGTGCTACAAGTTCTTTAATTGTGTTTTCATTTATGATTTCCTTTTAATTATTCTTTGAAAGTGATTTATGTAGATAGGGTTCATTTTATRTAATTATTCAAAAAGTTCTGTCACATAATCCAGGATTCTTGTAYGCCTCATGTGTTCGGACTCTGGAAGGGTTGAAAGAGAACGGATTGGTGAGTAAATGGAGTGACTTGTACTTGTTGGAATACTGTTCRTCTTTTTATATGTTCTTCCTTACATTCAGAAATGGATGAATAATTAGCTTAAATCTGAGATATAAATGATTGGTAACAGGAAAATAATAAATCAGTCTGATTAGCTTAAACAAGAAATACAGGGATTGTGTTGATCCTTCTAGCTTTATGGGTTGAATGTTTTGTGTGCTGGGATAAAACCTCTGATCTACACGTGTGTTTGAGAGAACCACTGTATGCTCCAAAAGCTGGTGAATCATTAGCAAACCCCAAACAACCAAAGAGTACCACCATCGCTTACACCGAGGTTTTATTTTTGTATGACGGTTATTTGTGATGTTTAATAATGTACACATAGATGGCTTTTATCTTTAAGTTGTAATCAAGCCTTAATGGCAGGGAGGTTGCTCTTGCTCTTGTTTTGCTGGATTTGGGAACTGGCAGAGCTTTGCTGTGCTATGAAAGTGGTGGTCCAGGCAAATTTTCTTGGGCATTTAATATCARAATGTTACGTTTTTAAATAAGTTATTTAGTGTTGTATTTTATGACCACGAAGAAAGAAACTGGATATCTTATTTTCCTTTTGAGTAGATGGGGAATTAGTTATGAAAATTGTGCATAATAGAATCAAGAAGAATTAGAGAATGAAACTGCAATGGGAAGTGAACAAGTGGGTCTCATACTGCTGTCTGAGGTGAAGCCCTTGGAGACTCTTTGGTATGCAGGCTGCAGGTTTGGTGCTTTGCAGTTAATTCCCTTCCCTCTCTCCCCACTTTGAGAAGGAGGAGAAGAAGGTGTTCATGAACATGAGCAGCAAACAGCCTTTACTTTGCATCAAGAATTGCTGGTATTAGCATTCAGTGCACCTTTCTGAAAAGGTGAAGAGCAGTCCTTTACCATTTAAAATCAGATTAAAAGGTAGAGCTGTTATGTTCTAACTATAAAACCAGGTTTTATTTTGCTAGCATCTAGAAGAATCCTTCACCTGTCTTTTCCCCTCCATTGATAGGCTGGGAAGCTACTATGGATGCCTGAAGTACTGCCTGATTTTTAACTCTGGTTGTTGTGCACRTATAGAATTTTCTGTTGTAACACTTTTTCAGTTTATAGGTTGGCAGAGAATTTTGTTTTCTCKGAGGCACCTTCCCTTCCTGCTGTTMCTAAAGATATATTTTTAAGGAATGAAAACTTCCTTTGTCATAGCACCTGGAGCCATTATTCCATTCCAGTTATGCTGACATTAAACTAATTTCTGATTAGCAGGTATAATGAACAAGTGCAACTGTCAATGTAACAGAAAACAGTCGGGGTTTTGTTTTCTTGTTTTTATAGCACTGATAAAAATCCCATTTCACAATGAAAAGTTAATGAGCATGGCTGKTCTTCATTATGTGGTATTACTAGGTGCTAAAAACATGGCTTCCTAGCATGTTTGAGACTGTAATATTAGAACTTGCTGACATTTGGTGTGAGATGAGAACCAAGATACAGCAGGCCATTCTGGAGGTGAAAATTAATTGAAAATTTCCAGGATTTCCTATTTGCTTATACAAACTCAACACTCAGAACAGGGGTTTCCCTGCTGATTTTACCAGGTACTTGAGTTACCAGACTTAGGAAGGTGAACTCAGGAGTGTTGATTGCTCTCTTGAACCACAGACTTGGCTTTAGTTTGAATTGCAGAAGGCCCTTCCATGGTCGCTCAATTGTTGTGTCGGTTTTAATAAGTTCAGAGCCCATTTCATGCTGTATTTATAAAGGAAGACCTCTGGAAGGTTGGAATGGGTTCATCCAAMACCCACAAAAGCAGATTTATCTTTGAATAAGGTGTCACTGTTTATATTTGCTTTCAGGAAGGAATGACCAAAGTCTTGACTGACTTACACAAGGTACRTATATAATGCTGTTTCCAGTAGATGGCAATAGTTATTTGCATCTGAAATTCTGTTTAAAGGATTTCTGGGACCAGCTGCTTACAGGGAAACTCGCTCGAGCTGATCTCCTGTGGAGCTTTCATCAGAATGSCAGTGCTGTGCCTGCCCCAGCTGAGCATCTCAGTGCTGGGCTCTCCTTGCTGCGGTAACTCCCACCTGGCACCCCCCACCCCTTTCCCAGGGAGCCACGGGACCAGGCTGGGGCCGGGCACTGAGAGGTGCCCAGGGACATAAATTTAAAAATATGACTCTGCTTTTTACAGGCAACTGCCTGGCTCCCAAATGGCAGGAGAGTGTTGCTGCTTCTGCCCTCCATCCTGCTTGAAATTAAATTTTCTCAGCCCTTGCCACCACCTCTGCAGAGCCTTTTTGCTCCTGCAGTTGAAAGGTCATGGGCAGAGAGATTCAAGAGCATGGAAACTTGAGTTTTTTCAACTTAAAACAGCTGAGCTGCCCCTTTCCCAGTAGCATGCCTTGCTCTGTGACAACTCCTGAACTTCAGTCTAGAAGTAATGGTGCCCTGAGGAGCAGTTGRGAAGCTTAAGAGAATGAAAATATTTGCCTCTGGGCATACTTTTCGGCCAGATGCTGGTGTCCGTGGATGTTGTGTAACACCTTAACAGCCAGGCCAGGGATATTTGCAATTCAGGACACRCATGTAAGAAATTCAGTGTGCCCCAAATCTATAATTTTATTAAATGCAGGCAGATAGTTGTCGTAGCCAGATCTGTGTTGGGGAGAAGTGGCTAAACACCTTAAAATTCACCAAAATGCTTTCTGGGTGGGAAAAAGATGCATTTGGGGAAAACTATTCAGCCAGTCAGTGTACAGTAACTGAAATGAGAGGGCACAGCATTGGAGACTCCTGCCTTTTCTCCCCTGGGAAATAACCTTCTCCAGATAGTTAAAAAAATATTTGCTTACATCAGGCAATGTTCTAAACTGCTGTTTGTATGATTATTTAGGAGAGCATAGGAAATATTAAATAGTTTTCCACCAACTTTGGTAAAGACAGATACCTTAAATACTTCATGGCTTTTTGTTCCTGCAGCTGTGTTCTCAGTCCACTTATAAAATCCYTCCTAACCAATAACACATTGTAGGGCATTTGGTTCTTAGCTGTCTGAGTAGTGTCTTCTCAACTAAAAGAAGTCAGCTGGAAGCKGCAGGGTTTTGTTTCTCAGCGCTACCTCAGGCTCCTGTTAATTGGTACTGTCATGTGTAGCACTTACTTTTACCTGTAAAGATTGAAAATGTCGCATTGGCAGCAGTGCTGCCTCCTTCCAGTGTCCTTGAGAGGACAAATACTGAGGTACCTGGGGAATTCTTTGGCAAAGGTGATGTGCTTTTTAAAATACAAACTTTTCTTTTTTTTTTTAAACAGGATGCACACACATAAATTTAAGCTGTTCAATTATGCCAGTRTATTTTGTCAGCTGCCCTGAGACTGACTCCAAGGGCAGTGGGTGCACAAGCAGGACCCAGGGGGTGTTTGCTGTGCAGCCAAGCCCTTGGGTCTCTGCACAGGACCAGGGCATCCATCACTGCCAGAYAAGATGTGGATGTTTCTATTTGCAGATCCAGCATCTCCTACACAACTTCCATCTGATCCCACCAGCCAGATGCAGCTAAAATAAAACAGAGACACTTTACCAGTGAAACAGTGTTTAATATAGTTAAATTACTTAAATAGATTTCAATTTCCATGGGAAATCATAACTGTATCCATTTTTGCAAGATCCAGAGTAAAGAGTGTGTGAATACCCCTTGAAATGATCATGACACACTGTCAACAATCACAGCTAGAGATACTGGGGACTTGAAATTTCATTGACAACACAACTTCATAAGATGAATCAAAAGTTAAGAAGACTGCAGACTTGCAGAAAGCAAACCTAAAACCAAGTGTATGGCATGAAGGAAATGAAACTCGGTGAGGGACAAAGGGGAYGGGAGGTGGAAGAAGGGGAGAAAGGCATAACAGCGTGATGCAACTTAAGTATTTTGCAAACCAGGAAAGATGTAAAGGAGCAAAAGTATAGTACAAGGGCAGACTTGGCAGTTTTACAGAAGTCAACATACTATACTTTTCAGARATGTTTCCTAGTGGAAGGGAGACGGGAAGGGGCAATGCCATTTAAGCTCATGTTTAAATGGCTTAATGCTCAGGTCATGCTTAGCAATAGAGCAAATTAATTAAGACAGGCCCATGGAGTTTCACTTATTGTCGAGTAGGAAAAAGAACTCACCATCACCATAGTGCAATCATTATGCTGTTAGTACTATAATAATTCTGCCCTGAGAAGAGTGGAAAACAAGTTTATTAAATGTCAAAAGATTGGAGTAATTTTTAGTGCTAGCCAAATTCAATATCAAAACTTCCCCCTCACAGAATATAAAAAATATAGCTTTTTTTAAATTATTTTCTTTTTTTAATAAAATATCAAGGGATTTTTCTTTAATAGTTAGAAAAGGTACATAAATGATAACAGTGAACTATTCAGAAACCCCCCACTAGTGATAAAGATGCCCAACACAGTATCAATGGCACTATTTTAAGGTTGATCACCTCATATACACACTTGCCATCATAATCTTTTTTGAAGATCACCTAATTCCTGAAAATTGAAAATCTGTGAATCRGTTTAAATAAGTGCTTACTACAGGAAAATCAACTTGATGCTGCAGCACATAGTTCCTTGTAATGTCACATGGCAGTTACAATGTCAGACAACTCTCAGATCAGCAGGATTCTATTAAGACCATCTATGAAAAATGATTTTTTAAAAATAAAAGTTCAAATGAGCTTTTTTTCATTTTCTCACAAGAGCTCCTGTTAAGAGTTAGAAGATTTGGTTAGAGCTCTTTTGACATGTTTGATATCGTCTCAGTAGCTAAAACTCAAAGGTCCCGTTTCCATTGGGAAGATGCTGGAATGCTGCACRGAACAACTCTGTGACTACTGCGGGTTTTTCCTCTTCTTTGAGGTTGTAGATTTTTCTGGATTTTCATTTTAAAATGCATCTGATTCAGCCTGGAAACTCACCTGGTTGTTGTTGGTTGATTGTATAGTGATAATCTGAAAACTGCCAAGTCTGTGTTCAGAGTATTATGCAGAAAAAATTACACAAAAGTTTACAGGTTATATACACCTCCCCCCACACCTCGGTGTGGACAGCCTGCCTACTAATTTGTATATAATTTACAAAATATAGAATTTGGTATATCTGTTAGATCTCCGTGTTTTCAATATTACAAAATAAAAAATACAAAAAAACCCACAACAAGTTTCAGGGGAGTTATCCCCACAAAGTGTCTCTTGTTTACATCTAGTCTTTCCCATGTAAACTGATAGATACCAAAGAAGAGCACAGACGACTTTTTAATAAATATGGTTGTAGAGCCATCTTCCTTTATCTTGATCTTCCCCTTCATCAGGTGTGCCAGCCCCACTCAGAAGAGCAGTCATTTAACCATGGAGAAGAAGGGAAAAGAGGGGGCCAAGGCTATAATGTTTTTTCACACTAGAACATTACCAATGCCCTTCTAAAAGGCCTTTTTGTGTGCTGCAACAGTGGGTGTCAGTTTTGAAAGCCCATTCAAAACAGCTAATAAAAGCACAGTGGTACACTTCAAATAGCTGGCAGTATGGGATGGAAACATCATGGGAGTGCAAATCCATTCCAAAATAATGCTTTGTAGTGAATCATACATTCCTTCAACCAAGTAAATGTTGTGTTGCGTCAATAAATACTTAAATAGCTTCTTTTGCCATCCTGTGGTAGCAGCCTTTCAAAAAATGCCGAATTCATGTCTTATCTGTGAACACTGTAGTGCACATCTTTGGTCAACTTAGCACTGGGCCAGGAACAACTCCAAGGTGATTTCTTTCTCTTGCCTTTCATGATGGGTGGCCAAAGAATTTGCTGATACCAGGTCTAGAGTCATGGGGTGAAATTTCAGCTGCGCCGCATGTTCAGCTTCAYTGCCAAAAAATGATTCTTCTCCAATTCACAATCCTGGGTAATGTAAAATCCGTCTTTGTGTGGCGCTGCAGTCAGTGCTAACTGATTGGAGGCCCTTCATTTAGAAAGTAGGTGGTCATTTCTCCTTTGCCTTTGACCTTTATGACCCCTCGATACTCTAGCTGGTAGTTGTTGGCTGCTAAAACCTGGTACATGTCCGTGGTTACCTGTAAAATAAACGAGAGTAAACAGATGCTTGCCTTGCCTTCCACACAGTCTTTCCATCTGCTTTTGGAGTAATCCGYGGACAAAATTAAAGTAGGATCAGCTGTTTTGTTTCCAAGTCAATCAATGTTTGCAATCAATCACTAACTGAACGGCTGGCACAATTACTGAACAAACACAACCATTAGAACCTGAGAAAGTGCAGGTGTCACACKCAGTTCACAACTCGGGAAACTGCATTTTTTCAGGAGGTCACTRGATAAAGTCTAACAAATGAGTCATATTTTTAAAAACACACCATTCACCTCCATCTACTCAGATGCATTCATTGTATCACTGCAGTGGCAGTAGATAAACCAGTCAAACTTACTAAAAAACCCTCAAAAAATACCTAAAAGTTAGAGTGGATGTACAGCTTCGGAGTCAGGGGTTATTTTTATGAAGAAGACAGTGGGCAATGGGAGACACTGTTCAAATGGAATACTCTAGCCAGAATTCACTTTGTCCCTGCAGATGCCAGTCAAAAATAATCACTTGTGCTGCAGAACAACTGAAGTTCAAAGACCAGATTTCCTGAGATATTTATTTATTACAATGTATTTTCTCACCCCTTTTCAGGTGGCTTTACAGACCATCCTGTTGCATAAATATYGATCCAGATAACTGACAGGCAAAGAAACCATGGCTGCCCATCTTGGGCTTTACACCAGCTGCTCTATTTTTATATCCCTTCAGTATTTTCCCAAGGAATGACATTCTGTTACTGGGGACAYTGGCTCAGTAGAAGCAGGACAGTGGAATTGAATCACTGGAAAGGTCACATCTGAAGACCAAGGAGATGTGTGATTATCAGACAGGTGCCATTAACCCCAATACTCTTTCCCTGTTGTGTATCCCCATCCTGCTGATGGTGGCCTCGCACCACACACAGCACTGTGAGCWGCAAAGCGAATTACAGAAATATCAGTCTGAATCAAGCCCTTGAAAAATGAAACAGCCATCACATACAGCTGAGCACACATGTGAGCAGGGATGAAACAGGACTGCTCAGTGCCAGAGAGGCACACGGGAAGGAAGTTCAGCTCAGCACTTCCACCCAGAACTAAAGTACAAGTTTTTAAACAAAGGTTGCAATACTGGTAAAGATTAAAAGACAAAACTTGCTAGTACCACCAGCATTTCCTAGGTGGTTTTTCTTTCAGTTCTGTGTAAGTAAGTGTATRKCATAAAGGAATAAAATGAAAMCAAAATTCCAATTCTAATTAAGTTTYGAAATGCGTAAGTGACACAGGGCTGGCAGTGTAGGTTTTCCAAGGGAATGCCTTACCTGGATCCTGTCAGGCACTCCTGTGCTGTCCATTCTGCTGGCTACATTCACTGTGTTGCCCCAGATGTCGTACTGGGGTTTACGGGCTCCTATCACCCCAGCTACGACAGGACCAATATTGAGGCCTGGAATGAGAAAATAAATGTGTTCAGATCCCTTTGCTTGAGGCAGGTTATTTTTCAGAGAATAAAAAACCCCATCCTGAGGGTTTACCTTTCTAGCTGTGTTTTACCCTGACCTATAAAGCTACGGCCAAACTGTGGGGAGAGAAACATTAAAAGTTGGCTTCTTTGATCCATTATGCCCAACTGACTGGCAGCTTGGGCTGGATCGGCTCAATCCAGAGCTATTTTCCAGTGCCAGATAAAAGGGTGAAGTTTGTTTGCCACCTGGCTAACAAGCAAACTGCTCACTTGAGGTGAGCACACACCTGCTGCAATGCTGAGGGCCTGCGAGGCAGCAGCCCAGTTGCCTTCCAGAACAAACACCACACTTGACATCCTCACATTTCCTTTGAAAGACAATTTAATGTCCCAGAATGGCAGAGCTGGAAGCACAGGGGCAAAATGATCTGAACTACCATGTGAGAACACGCTGTGGTAGGCACTACTCTGCTCCTAATTCTCCAGGGAGCTTCAGTAATGCTGCAATATCTAAAAACCAACTGTGATGTTTTGTAGAGCCCAAAGTGGTCACCAGGCACCAGGCATTCAACATCACTCCACAGATAATGTAACATCTGYGGTTTTTACCCTTCATAAAATCCCCACCTCAGAATGACCACTACCTACAGGGAATCCTGCGAGCACAAGGACATTACCTATCTTCATCTGGAAGTTGTTGAATGARTGTTCATTAATGTATTTCATTTGGTCCATTAACCTCATGGCAAAGTCTGCCAGAGCTTTGATGTGTGTCTTCCCTTCCTTGTCGTACGTGGAATCGTTGAGGCCTGAGGCAGCCATGTAGGTGCTGCCAATGGTCTTGATCTTCTCCAGCTGCCGGAATTGGTCTTCACTTATGATCTGTGTCACAAGAGCAAAAGAAGCAAATAAACCTTGACAAACACGCAGGTGGTAATGTCCATGCCACATATCCTGCCCTGCTGCAAGCATTATAAAGTAGTGGACAGTCTCCAGCATATAAGGTACAGGAAGAAAAAGGATTAGATATTCCAYGGAGCAACAAGGGAATAGAAGGGATTTTAATGTGGAAAAAAACCCCAAACCTAAAGACTCTTAGAAAGAGAAGAAAGGAACCATGGCACAAGGATTCAATAAACCACCTTCCTTCAGGAGCTCAGCAAAGCCCGACTAAACCCACGGATTCAGTTCGCTCTGCTCACCCGGATTTTCTGTGACTTACTTCATCAAAATCAGCAATGATCTCATTGAGCAGCCTCAGACACTCCACCCCTTCGTTATTGGCTTCCAGCTCCACATAAAACTCGGAGAAGTTGCTTATGGAGGCGAACATGACAGCCACGCACTCGCAGGACTGGTAGTACAGTTCATCATTGCGCCGCTCCTGAGCCAAGAAATGGGCTGCCACATCCTTYGGCAGAATGTTGTGGAGGAGGCGTCTGTTGTAGGCCTGCAGCTCCTCCATTTCCTCCTTCTCTTCCGTGGCCTAGTTTAGGGCAGAGACACATTCATGCACTTACACTTTTGGTAGCTGCTCYGGGGAGGGGAAGAAAAAGCTGAAAATTAACTTGCAGCGAGGACAGAAATAGAAGAGGGGAAATCTGCAAAGCAGAGCAGAACCAGAGAGATGCAGAAACTTGTGTTTTGCAGTGGAAAATGTTCCATTTCTTCATGGTGCACACATGTATGGAAAAGTAGGCAGAGAATAATGCCAAAATCCATCACTGCTTTCCTAAGCCCTGAACTGGGTAACCACTCAGCTCACCCCTTCCATTGTTTTGCAGTTATAAATGAGGATTACAATGTTTATCTGCTTCCCAAGGAGCTTTAATTAATTGTTGCTTTCTCAGTGCTGCAGACTCAAACCACAAAGACCTGTAATTAGAATTATGTCCTGCCACCCAGAAGGTAGAAAATTTAAGTAAAACCTGCAGTCCTGTGGCCCCCCCCCCCAGGTATGAGTGCTGGGCAGAGCCCAGGCCTGTTCTGCTTGCTCGGGAATCACATACAATGCCCCAATATCACTCATGGGCACAAGTAGTGAAAACATTAACAGTGAACCCAGGGACAGGAGCACAAGTGTGGCATTATCCACAGTGTGTTGGTTATCCAGTACTGCTGCCTGGGGGCTAATGAAGGCTGGACATTGAGCCAGTTCCCACTGCTTAACAGGAAAGTGAATGAAAATGCAAATGTGAATCTTTCACACCCTTGAATGCAGCAAACTAAAGCTTGCTGAACTCTGGGAAACAATTCAGCAGTGAATATGAGCTTCCTATATTTATAAATTGTGTTACATTACATGTTCCTGCAGCAGTAACAGCTCAGTTGCCCAAATTCATTAATCTCAACCTTCAGATCTATAACCCTTCACCATGGAGACCATCCAAAGGGCATTTACGAGGAAAAAAGGGGTTGAAGAAAATAACTGGGATGAGAAGCACAGAGTGTGCAAAGYACCAAAGGAGAGCAGAGCGTTATTAGCATGCCCAGTTATGAAGCCAGATTCAGATTGAATTCCAAGGCACTTTATCACACTCCTCAACTCGACAGTGAACAGCTCAGTAGTTTATATTAATGCCAAAGACCACGTACAATCCTCCCACACAGCCAACGCCCACAAACCTGGAGTTTCCAGAGGAAATCAAGCCTTGCAGTGGATTCCACTTGCTGGGCRTGCAAGTACAGTGCCAGGACAAAGACAGTGATGATGACAGGGGTCACAATCTTCAGCGCCACTCGTGTCATCACTGGGGAGCTGCAGCCAAGGAAAGAGCAGAACTTCCCAGTTACAGAAGAACACGGCTTCGCCACGCCCTGCGCTTCCCGCTTTAAGGATAACCAGCCTGTCAGGATAAGGCTTTTTCTCCCTCCCCTCAAAACCTGTGCTAGTAAAGGGACAAACAATACCTACAAGAAGCTGTGGACTGTGGCTCATGGGTGCCAGTTATTAAAGGAGGACTTGGAAATTGGAAATGTAATCCAACTTCTTGGAAAGGGTTGCCATCAATAGGGAGGCCACTCTTCAGAGAATGGCCACACGTGCTCAGGGTGACAACACCGAAACGCTGACAGCCCCTCAGACTGTGCTCACCCTGTCTTCTGCACTGGCTTCCCCAGGCTCCTGGGTCTGGAACTGTTCTAACTCATGGCTTCTCTAATTAGTCACTTCTTAAYGAGCTTTGTCGTGTAAGTGCTCTGTAAGCTGAAAAGAGCACCGAGGTACTTTCACATCTCCTCTGACACGCAGGCAAATAAAAACTGTTAAATATGAATTACAGCGTTATACAGCATGAAAATATTTTGATAAAACCTTTGAAGTGTATTACAAATAAGCCCTGAKATGCTCTATAAAGCAAGCTGACATAAGTTCTGCAGGAAAGGGGATGCTCTGAGAGTACCTTTACATAAAAAAGGGCAACACTCAGTCCACTCAG